AATTTGGGGGGTGTGTCCTTTTTTTCCTTGGGGTCCCTGCCATACAAAGTTGCCCTTTTCCTAGCGAAAAAAAAAAAACATTGCTAGCGAAAAAAAAAAAACATTCCCAGCGAAAAAAAAAAAACATCGCGAAGAAAAAAAAACTTCGTATAGAATTCAGACGAGTGTCTCATTTCAAAGCGTCAGGGCGTGTTTTTTTTAAGGGAAAAAAGTCTGTTACCGAAAGTTTTATTTTATTATGTTTCTGTTCACACTTCATTTGATGTTTTTAATTAATATTGTAGAAGCCTGATGAGGATGGCAAAATAGTCATCGAAACGTTGCTCAAATATAAAAAGCACAAATAATAATAACTGACTGAAAAGCCAAACAATTTTTCCTTCAAGAAAAACATATTAAGATAATACATAAGCAAGTTCGAAATCGAAACATTAACAAACCTAAGTGTAAACCAAATATCAAATGCCATAATGCTTGTCCATTGAAATGCATAATTAATGAAGAAACCATATAAAAAAATTGATGTGTAATAAGAAAAAGCCTTAGTAACTTGTAATGCATAAAAGAAGTAACTGAGAGTCATTGCAAAACAGAACATCATAACAATTTTTCCATGAAGTGTTCGGAAGCTTTTTATGGCAAAATAAATGATAACAACTGTTATGGAAGTCAAGGTCGAGATACTTGAAACTGTGTAAAAGATAAGAAATTTGAATTTATATGAAATGTTGTTTCATATCAGCAATACTCACGAATGGTTTGAACAACTTTTTGAAGTTTAATATTTGATGCACAAATGTATAAATTCCATTGAACTTCCCCATCGACTTTCACATCTTCAAAGCAATATTTATCATTGTCATAAAATTGACGTCCATTCACTATTCCACCATCATACTTAAAGACAGATTAAAGTGAAATTTAATGAAACCTTTTAGAAAATATTTTAATTAGTTTCTTCATACATGTGCAAAATCCCAATCGTCTTTAGAAATTTCAGTTGCGCACAATGGACGTCCATGTAAAACATGTAATTGCCTAGGAGTTTCATCAAAATCGTAAACATTTTCTATTTTTTCTGAATAACTTTTATTGAAGTTTTCTCTCAAATAATCATCCTTGCAAGTTTTGTAATCATTACAACAAATTCTGACACAAGGTTCCGTGATTCTTTTACATGCATTTTCGATAACACTTTCTTCATGAAATGATAGCAACACGATGGAAAATATCACGAGTGGAACGAGAGAAATTACAATCCAATATGTATTCTGAAACATTTTTTGAATGTTCTTAAAGCCTTCTATGAAACAAACTAAAATTATTAAATGCTCAACATCAGAATTTATATGCTTCTCAAAGAATGTGAGTCAAATTGAGAGAAAAATTTGAATTATTTTGAATGAGTTACAATCGAAAGACGAAATTCTTAAACATTCTTTCTTAAAAGTTAAAGGTCTGGAAAGTATTCTCGTGTTGCAACACCTAATTTTTTGTATGAGACAGGGGACAATATTCAAAATAGATTTTCACTCGAACGTAGGATTTCCCCTAGAAATTTACATATTTATGCTCTTCATTTTTCATATGTAACAAATTGTTGATAATTTTGCGAAATATATCTTCACAAATTTCGCATTTCCTTTCATTGCGTTTATTCCTAGTTATTCCCATGGTGCAACGAGGCAAATTAGGGCAGCTGGAATATGCAGTTTCTCAAAGCTGAAAGATGCGTGTACATGACCTCATAGTCACCTTTTCGATGCATTGGAATGTCGTATCTAATGAAATTTCATTTAAAGTTATGCAATTTTCATAGAAAGACCATCGACATAAAACTTCTCATTGCTTGTCCAAATCTCGAGCGAATTATGCTGCATCAAGCGGTGGAAGATTCGAAGATTCGGTGTTGAATTCGAAGATTTTGTATTTTTTGATGAATATGATGCAAAGGTGTACATTTTATCTCTGTTGCAGCAAAAAGACTCAAATACATCAGACTACATGGACGACTCAGTAGATGGACTGAGTTTGTAAAAGAATCATCTGTGGAAAGACTGTATAAGGATGTACTTGAAGATGAATTTGACGATATTAGTTACTGCGATGACAGAATATCGTTCAATTACAAACAAAAACGAAATGTTCCCGATTGGGATTGTAAAGAAATTGAATTAAAACAGCGATATGAATCTGTCATGTCACTATTTCCGTGAAAAAGTTTATGAATACGAGTTTATAACTAAAGTACGTAAATAAAATTTCGATACTTCATATTGAGATTAATTAAACATATTTAAATTTCAACTAATTTATAATTTATGTAAACAAAATAATTTTTTAGAGAAGAAAAATAAGTCAAAAATTATATTCATAGAATGCTTTACGCTTTAGTTCGCAAAGTGTTTTTTTATCATTTTTCCATAGACATAAAACAAAAATTAAAAAGTAACGCTTGTAGAAAGTATTAAGCTTCCTCGAAAGATTTGTTTTAGGGGAAAAGAAAAATTGTGAATGTAGTACCAATTGTAAATATGCTTAATTTAGAATATGGCTTTCTTCGCTATTTTGCCATTTTAAAGCTCAAAGCTTTTTAGAAAATAGACATGGTAAAAATGCGATGAAAACAGCAATCGAAATTATGTGTATTCACAATTGGTGCTGTATTTACAATAATTGTTTTCCTTTATATCTAGAGAAAATGTTGAACTTGTTCCATCATGTGAAAGACCTCTAAGAAAATTTTTCCCAAACATTTTTTTGTAGAACGAAAATGGGGAAAAGCAAAATCGCACAATAACATCGAATCATATCATCCAGTAATACATCACTGCGAAAGATATCGAATGGCTCAATAACAATGTTGAAAATTATAATTGCAAAGGCTGATAAATACATCCAGTACCTGAATAAAAATAATATAAATTTAAATTTTAAACATAAATTTGAGTCAACTCAGACCTTGATTTTTCTTCTTCCAATTTTGTATGTTCCAACGGCCTTGAAGATTTTGACATTTGAAATATTTTTACACCAGCAAGGATGAAAAATATTATATCCAAAACTAATGAAAGCAAAAAGATATATTCTTTAATTGTGTGCAAATAAAAACTTTCATAAATGAGACAAAAAGTAACGAATAATGAAAACGTTGCATATCCACAGTAGTATAAAAACCTTTCCCTTCCTTCAGATGATGCATTTAAGTTCCTAGATTTAGAAGAAAACATATTAAGATAATACATAAGCAAGTTCGAAATCGAAACATTAACAAACCTAAGTGTAAAGAAAATATCAAATCCCATAATGCTTGTCCATTGAAATGCAAAATGAAGGAGCAAAGTATACAAAAAACAGGGCATGTGATAGTAATAGAAGGTATCCTTAGTAATAAATGCATAAAAGAAGTAACTGAGAGCCATTGCAAAACAGAACATCATAACAATTTTTCCATGAAGTGTTCGGAAGCTTTTTATAGCAAAATAAATGATAACAACTGCCATGGAAGTCAAGGCCGAGACACTTGAAACTGTGTAGAAGATAAGAAATTTGAATTTTTACGAAATGTTGTTTCATATCAGCAATACTTACGAATGATGTGAACAACTTTTTGAAGTTTTATTTTTGATGCACAAATGTATAAATTCCATTGAACCTCCCCATCGACTTTCACATCTTCAAAGCAATATTTATCATTGTTATAAAATTGACCTCCAATCTCTATTCCACCATCATACTTAAAGGCAGATTAAAGTGAAATTTAATTAAACCTTTTAGAAAATATTTTAATTAGTTTCTTCATACATGTGTAAAATACCAATCATCTTTAGAAATTTCAGTTGCGCACAATGGACGTCCATGTAAAACATGTAATTCCTTAGGAGTTTCATTTTCGTAAACATTTTCCATTTTTTCTGAATAACTTTTATTGAAGTTTTCTCTCAAATAATCATCCTTGCAAGTTTTGTAATCATTACAACAAATTCTGACACAAGGAGCGCTGAATGTTTTGCATGGATTTTCGATAACACTTTCTTCATGAGACAATAGCAACACGATGGAAAATATCACGAGTGGAACGAGAGAAATTACAATCCAATATGTATTCTGAAACATTTTTTGAATGTTCTTAAAAGCTTTCTATGAAACAACTAAAATTATTAAATGCTCAACATCAGAATTTATATGCTTCTCAAAGAATGAGAGTCAAATTGAGAGAAATATTTGAATTAGGTATTTTAAATGAGTTATAGATAATCAGAAGACAAAATTCATCTACATTCTGTCTTAAAATCTTTTTATTCAAAATAAATAAACTTGTCAATGAATGCAACCTTTCATGAAACATAAATCATCAGTCAATTTCTTGCGAATATTTTTGTGCAGCACAAGAATTGAATAAATAATGTTAATTGAACAATAAAAATTAACTTAAAGCTTTAGAAAACCAGTTATTTTATCTAAGTGAAAGTATTTTATTCCAGCGCACAGTGGAAACTTTTCTTTGTGAAATATTATTTTCATTTCCATACAAAAATGGCGAAATTTTGTGAAATATGAGTTCACAAATTTTGCATTTTCTTCCAGGTACGCAGGTATACGCAGCTGAAATAAATATTTTTGGAAAGCTGAATGATGTATGCTCTTGACCTCATAGTTACTTTTTGGAATGTACTGGAATGCCGAAATGAAAATGCATTCAAAATTTAGCAATTTTCATATAAAAACATAGAAATAAAAACATCATTACGGAGGGTCACCTTTGGTGAGGTCACCGTATTGTATTCGACATTTTTTTTTGAAAAATTTTTTTTGCTTAAATATGCTTAAAATAGCATGAAACGTCGAGAAAAGTGGAAAAAATGGACTTCCATTTTTCCGTCGCCTTTCAACCCTGTCTGTCTGTCTGTCTGTCTGTCTGTATGTAACTTTTTTTTTGTTAACTTTTCTGAGAATTCTTATCAAGAATTTTTCTGAGAATTCTTATCAGGAATTTTTCTGAGAATTCTTTCTAGAGTATTTCCGAGAATTCTTTTGAATAGGACGATCGGTGCGCGTGTGGGAGAGTGAGTGGAAGACCAAGGACAGTCGGAAGGTCCATGGACAGTCGGAAGGTCCATCGAGTAGCGAGGTCCATTGAGTAGCGAGGTCCATCGAACAGCAAGGTCCATTGAGTAGCAAAGTCCATCGAGTAGCAAGGTCCATCGAGTAGCGAGGTCCATTGAGTAGCAAAGTCCATAGAGTAGCGAAGTCCATTGAGTAGCAAAGTCCATCGAGTAGCAAAGTCCATCGAGTAGCAAAGTCCATCGAGTAGCAAGGTCAATTGAGTAGCGAGGTCCATTGAGTAGCAAAGTCCATCGAGTAGCGAGGTCCATCGAGTAGCGAGGTCCATCGAGTAGCAAGGTCCATCGAGTAGCAAGGTCCATCGAGTAGCGAGGTCCATCGAGTAGCGAGGTCCATCGAGTAGCGAGGTCCATTGAGAATTCAGTCGGAAGGTCCATGGACAGTCGGAAGGTCCATGGACAGTCGGAAGGTCCATGGACAGTCGGAAGGTTCATGGACAGTCGGAAGGTTCATGGACAGTCGGAAGGTTCATGGACAGTCGGAAGGTCCATGGACAGTCGGAAGGTCCATGGACAGTCGGAAGGTCCATGGACAGTCGAAAGGTCCATGGACAGTCGGAAGGTCCATGGACAGTCGGAAGGTCCATGGACAGTCGGAAGGTACATGGATAGTCGGAAGGTCCATGGATAGTCGGAAGGTCCATGGATAGTCGGAAGGTCCATGGATAGTCGGAAGGTCCATGGGCAGTCGGAAACTCCACACCGACCGGAGTAACTTAAAATTATGCGTTAGCATAATTTGAAGCTCCCCATGTGGAGCTTCCCCATCTTTTTTTATTAAATTTCTTTTATTGTACAAAACTTAATTTATTTAACAGAAAACTCTCCAGATTTTTTTTTTGCCTTTTAAAAACAGCCACTTGCACGATTAAAATTCTAGTCATCGCTTCAAATATTGAGTAAGTTTTATTTTTCGCTTTGACAAAAGAGCGGATGTTAGAGAATGGTGGAAAATGTATATTTGAAAGGATAATGGAAAAACTTTAAATGCGAAAAGAAACTTTTCTTCTCGAATTTCATTTTCTCTGGACGGATGTGTGTGCTTGCATTGTGCTCGACTTTTCTTCTGTATTGTTTTACAGAAAGTTTCAAAGTCATTGATAATATATCCTGGTCGTTTTTCACTCAATTTAGACAATCCACAAAAAGCGTCACAACTGTTTTTTCTTTCTTTCTCAAACTTTAATTTATTGACAAGAACTAATTCCCTGTGATCTTTTTCATAAATCCTGGCATCGATGAGAGAGGAATATTTTTTTCCACGAATAAATTATTCCGCGACCAGATTATTGCATGAAAATTATTCCATACAGAAAATTGCATGATGATTTTGAAATTTTTACCGTTAAAAATTCTAAGGTAAGTTTTTAAGTTTATGATATTTAAATTATGTTCATCATGATATAATGTTTAAGATGACAAATTATGATGCTAAATACAATATATTTTTACTTCTTATCCCTGTTATTTAATAAAATTTAACTCACAGAATAATTTTCTACGCATTTACATTTTTAACGGTTTAAATTTTAAAAAATGTCGTGCAATTTTCTGCCAAGCAATAACATAAATCTGGAATTTTTTTCCCGTAATTTTTTTAGATGGAAAATAATATTCTTCTCATCGATGACGATGAAAAAGTTTTATTTTCACACATAAGAGCTGAAAGTTAAACTTACAAATCCTTGTCATGCTCTAACCCTTAACTCTCTAATCGTCTGAAGAAGAAGCATCTTGTCTCAAACGATCTTCAAGAGAAAAAAGGATACAAATAATATGATAAATTACAATTCTTTTCCCTTAAAATAAGAATAAAAAATCCCATCTCAAGCACAATGAAAGCGTAACACATTGAAGCTTTTTTCTTTCCCTTTTCGTGTTGAGCTTTTAAATTCAAGTTTGCCAGATATGCGACGATGAGTTGAGTTAATGCGACTCAGTATACTTGATATATGAGATTACGGTAAGAACGTATGTTTCTCAATTTCCATAAAGTATATTTGTTCACAATATATGCAAAATACATGCCAAACTAGTTGTCAAAGCATTATTTACCAATTCAAATTTCTCATTCGTTCGAATACTTTTAACTTTCCCCGAGACTTCTCATCGGAACTCGGGACTTAGGATATGCTTTGGAAAGATGATGGAATAAGAAATGAGATTGAGTAACTAAATATATGTGAATATATGTACATATGCAAATAAAACAAAATAAAGTTTTTTTGAGGTCGCAGTTCTTTTTGTTGGAAAATTGTTATAATAGGATTACGGAGCTTTGTAATGGATAAAACTTCATCTTATTGTTAAGTGAATGTGATGGATGACGTTAATGTTAAATTTCTTTCTTGTTTTTTTATTAGATAAGTTGACTTCCAGCGACACGAAATAAGATTTTATATTCCCTCGGGGTTGATTTTCTAGTTAGCTCTCTTGTCACAATCAAGGGTTTTTCTCAGATTTTATGATAATTACGGTTGTTCGCAAAGCAAAAGAAAAAAATGAACTTTCCTTTGACTTTAATGAGTCTTTCAAGATGCGACAGGTCAGCATAGTTTGTAAGTTTAGTGACTGTTAGTGTGGTTGGCTTCAAGTTGATTATTTTTCCACTCAAAAGCTTTTTCATATTCTACATCAGTAAACGTTGATTTGGATTATCAAAAGATGGTCAGTTTTTTGTCTAAGGATTTGACAATGCACGATGATGACTCGAATTTTTACCTTTTCATTTATTGTTCTCATAAATACTTAGTGGGAAAAAATGAGAAGCTTACAAGACATCTTGGCTTTAGATTAGGTCGCAAATGTTGTAAGATATTTTGAGTCATAAAGAGAATATCAGATGAGATCCCTGGTAATGTCTGACTCGTAATCAAAAGATTCTCTTTTCCAGGATTAATAAGGATTGTCTTTGGTAATGGTAAGGAATAACCAGGAAGTAAAACTTTCATTAGTCTTACTTGTGAAGATGTAAATTCTGCGATTAAGCCTTCATTTCATTTAATGTCATTTCGCAAAGCTTTTTTATGTATTAATGAAATTTCCAACTTTAGCATTCGATATGAACAAAAAGTTTCTTTTTCGTCGCTAACTTTCATAAAACAAAGTAGACCTCGTAACAAAAGACAACTTCTGTAATCTCTACTCATATATGTATTTTATTCCATCAACAATTTTTTTTACGAAATCATGAGAAAGTTTTTATTATGCATAATATTTTTAACACTCGCGTGAAAACATGCGAAATAAAAGTAAAAACAGGACAGGGAGCTGCCGTAGCGTTAAGTGAAGTTAAAATTAAAAAAAGAGCCATGCCAGTGTTTCATTTACGTAAATTTTAATGTCACTTTGTGAGTCCACCTCTTAAACAGCTTCGAAATAAGCTTCAAAGAAGTTTTTCTGCTTCTTTATTTACACAAGCCACCCTGCTTTTTGGTAAACATTTTCCTTTTCTTGCCCTTGTGTAGTAAAAGAAGCATGAAAAAGTAAACAACCTATTTTATGTAAGCTAAAAATTATTTTTCTTCATCTCTCGCTGCATAAAGTTGAAATTATTTTTTTCATTTCTCATACCTCTGTAAACGGCCATTTATTCCGTGACCCATAAAATGTGAAAAGAAAAACTTATTCGCTTGCTAAACTTGGAAGTGATTTCTAGAATTACGACTGAAGTAAACACTTGCTTAGATTTCTTTTCATCTGAAGGGTTGAATGTTGACTGAAACAGAATTCACGTAAGGAGAAACGATAATTTGCAAATTATAAATTTTGAAACTTGAATAAAATTTTGTTCACATTAAATTATTTTCAAAGTGAACTGCAATCATTAATTTCACTCTGCATCTGGAAAAGAAATCTTTTTTAGACAGACAAATTTACCGTAAATCTCCAAATGAATTGAAACAAATTGTTAGTGAATTACGACAAATTAGCTATCATAACACAAAATACTGTTAAAAGTTCAAATAACTCACATATCTACAGCAAAACAATCTTTCTTCTTGTTGGTTTTTCATCTATAACTTTATTTTTTATTCCTTCCCCATCTCAGAACAGTACCCGTTTCAAGTGCCGTCCCTAACGATAGCATATTCACAATAAATTTATTGTATTAAAACTCGATTATTCATTATATTTGGCAAATTATCAAGAATTTTCGAACCGTCCCTCGAACAGTGGTTCTTTTAAGTTTTCTTATCACGAACACAATACAATTTTGCTCACCATTGTGGGTGGAAAAAAGAAAATATATAAAGAAAGAAAGTAACATTCTTTTTTCTCTTTTCATCTTTAACAAATTTATGTTTGGCGACAAAGGTCCAATGTTGGAGATTTTTCGTTCTGCTTTACAATCGTACGAACAATAATAAAGGAAATATTGGAAATGCTTACGATAAAAATTCAATATTTGAGCATAAGAAACAACCATTGCCGATCAACCTTTACACTACGTACGTACACAACAGTAATTGCTCGATTTTATTATTCTACATGCACATAAGAAACATTCGTTTTGAAAGCTTAATTGAAAACTAATGCTGTAGAAGATTCATTAACTTTTAATTAATATGATATTTATGGATAAGCTTCATTGCATAGTGTTATTTGGGAAGGAAAGGGAAGTGATATTTACGAGATAGGCGGAGACTTCTTTGTATATTAAATGGAAGCTTATCATGTTATATTACGTGTTAAGTAAATTTTTATCAAACATGTCCACTGAGAAAACACAAACTTGAAAAATGTGGCAAGTTGACAAAATGTCTTCTCATAATCATTATAATTTATAAAGGAAGGGAAAGCTTCAGAGGTTTAATTTATTTCCCCCAAAAGTCGATTAACAGAGTTACAAAAAAGACATCTTTTGATCAAATGGAAATGGAAATGTCATTGTTAATTATTTAGTTGGATTGGGGAATTTAAAGCACACAACATAGAAGACAAACCTGAATTGAAGTAGCTAACTGTAATATAAAAACTATAATGCGATATTTTCTTGTCAACTTGCCAAGTTTTCAACTCGCTTTTAATATAAAATTTCAATTTCTTTCTTACTTAATTTTTTTCTTAACGACTTTCTTTCTTTTAACATTATAGTCATAATTTGCTGAATGCTCCAAATTTTAAGGACAACAATAACAACGTTTATAATGTAAAATTAAGTTGCTTCGTCATCATTTGCGACTGAAACAATTCATTTCGTTTTCTCTATTAATGAAAGCGACTAAAACAGTAAATAAATGATTAAATTACAGCACAAAAAATTATAAACAGAAATGAAAAAGTTTTTGTTTGCTAGGAAAAAAAGAAAAGGTTTCCAGCAGGAAAAAAGTGAAATTGTAGAAGAACTGAGAGCTCGCATAAACGATAGAACATAAAAAACCACTTTTGATGATGGAAACACATAAAAAAGTGTAATTGCTATTTAGACGAGCGAATGTGCTGAAAGTGATCATTATTTACTTCCATCGCAGTTTTCTCTTTTTGTACTCGCCGCTGCTCTACTCTGCTCCGTTACCAAAGTTATGAAAGGAAAGTCGATTAATTTTTTTTTCATCATTTGAAACACTTTACCCTCCGTTTTCTCAACGTATCATCTTCTGTACTTTTGACGCTTCCCATTTCAATTTTTTCTTCTCATTCCCGCCTTTCGCACTTCAAATCTCTGAGGCAGCAAATTTTCAATGCTGATGGCTCAAAAAGGGATTGCTAACTTTTCTTTTGGTTAAAGAAAATTTAAAACTTGGTCCCAATCCCAATTTAAGCGCATTGAAGGATGAAAATATGGCTGCTAAATATAAATATTTTTATGTTAACCATATTACTTGTTCCATGCTTTTTTCTTTTTCTCTTCTCTCATTGACTCTCCTTTCGTTTCCATCCTAACAGAATGGCGAATTTCAAACATCTGTCTTAAGATAATCGCAATTAATTTTAAATTTAAACAGGATCAAATTTATGGTATCTAAAGAAATTTGAGATGTTGTTTTATAAATCAGTTTAATTGCTGTCAGAAGTGTTACTGATGTTACTGTTGTTAATGACAGAGCGAAAAGTTCCGAAGAGTATACATTAGGAAAGTTTTCCGTCATGGAGATTGTTTAATCCAAGATTTAATCAATACCTCAAAGCTGTTCTAAATTTATAAACTTGAATTAGAAGTATCGTCATACTAACATTTAGTTTCATTGCTTATGTTTGTTTGGCTGATTTACGCATCTAGTATTAATTATATTAGCAAAGGAAGTAAATAAAGGAATTTGAGCCAAACATTTTTTCAAGAAATTATAACAACATAGCATCATAGACAATTGTTTATAAGACTTCAAGATATAATAATAAAATTAATATTATCATTATTATATGAAATTCCTATTGAATACCTAATTTTGTAACGAACAGACAATTTCTTTCCTTCGCATGAAAATATTTGCCAAGAACTTAATTCACTTCTTGAAAACGTTAAAACTTCTTGTTGACGAAACGAGAGTCAATTTAGTCGAGATTGATTTGGACAACGTCGCTTGGCAACATAAAATTATTTGCACGTAATGATATTCCACTGAGTTGACGGTCGACGGGAACGCGATTATCATAGAGCGATGGTGATTCGAAGATGATTCCTAAAGTTCCTCCAACACATGAAAGAAAGAAAACCCAAAGGAAGAATCGATCGAGTACCATCGATACAAACTTCCAATCTTCAACGACCTGAAAACAATGAAAGAAAAGAAGCAGATTATTACTTTTGTGTATGTTTATGGCATAAATATATATCTGTGTATATACATTTGTTCATTGTGCAACAAATCATCAACAATGAAATAAATTGGATTAAATTGGATTTTCAATAGCAATTCGAAAAGATATAACATCCGCTACGATTTATCTACGAGAGCTAGTTCAGATCTCATTTTTTGCAATATCTCATTTTCATTTCACATCCAATCACAACGAGAAATTGAGTACATTTCCAATATAAAAACCCTTACAAAAACCACAATTGAAGTACATCACATGATGAGAGCAGATGTCAGAAGATGTGCTTTTAAGTCTTCGATTTTTTTCTGCAATTAAAATTATAAGAAGCTTACGGAAGCAATTTAAAGCATAAGTATTGATGGCAAGCTGCATCTGATTGAAGTTTAATGGGATAGATTAAAGCATTTATGAAATTCATGAGATGATTTGGTATTTTCATGCCCTACAAACAACGCAAATGTACACGTAGAGAATGAAAAACGTTCTTATCTCTTCTAATAAGTAAAGGCTAAACTCGTCAAAATTAATGTTCAAGAAAAGGTTGAAATGAAAAAAAATCCTCTGCAGTGACGATTTATTTCACTTGTGAGGCAAGATCATGAATCTAGAAAGAACCATGTGGTACGCAAGAAAAAATAATAATTTGGAAGAAAGAAGTGCATACACAAGATGCGGCTTCATTTAAAGAAGAAAGATCATTCGTCATCTTATGTAGACTTATATAAAACATTTTCCCGCTCCGATCCCATCACATAAATTTTACAGATAAGAAAAAATTAATGTAATATTTTATGCGAGAAAGGAAATTCTTTTTATTCCATTTGACTTATTTTCTTTTCTCATTTTTTTTGGGAACAAATTTCTTTCTCAGAAGATGGGAACGAAATTCTCTTGTCTTTTGAACATGAAATGTTACATGATGTAGAATGACTAAGAAGATAAAAAGATCTGCATGCAAGGTCTTCTGCTGGAAAATTCGAAACATTTTAGATTATAAAGGTTGTTTCCACTTAAGTTATAATAAAAATGAAGAATGACTAGCAAGATCCTAGAATTTTGAAGAGCTTTTTAACGTACGTAAATGTTTGTTTCGAAAATGTGTAGAATTTTATTTTGATTTTCTAATCTTTTGTGCTAATTCCACAAACTACTTGTACATAGCATGTTGCAATTGCATAAGATCTCATGTTAAATAAGACAGAATCTCGCAAACTTTAATGTTTCCTAAGAGAAGCAAATTAAAACAGTTTATTATGACTGATATTAATATTAATGCTTTTTTATTGATCACAGTGAGAAAAGTGAAAAGCTTGACTGCTTCTGAAGTCTTTAATCAACGTCAGCGAATTCAAATTGATTGACGAAAGCAAAGTGAAAGAAGAAAGTAGATAAATTGGGAGAAAAGAATTAATTGAATCTTTCTCTTAAAGGAAAAAGTTTTCAAAGCTTTGTTCCTTAGTGACTGCCATGCATAATATTTAGATTATATTTTTTTGCCTTGCAACCGTTTGAAGCGATGTATCTGCAAATGGTCTGCATATATTGCAGTTGCCATTTATTCCTCATTTTCTCATCGTTTTACTTTTTTTCAGGAGACGATGAAAAAAAATTTAAAATTTCTTCGCTGCTTTTTCGAATAATTGACAATTTAAAAGCGCAGAAAAAAGTTTTCTATTTTTCGGGCGGAAAGTTATCAAGGAGGAAAATCTATTCCAAGAGTAATAAAAATGTGGTTCAAGAACATAATGGGACCTCGTTCAACCCTCTGGAAACAGTGAAAGCTTCACGTTGTGGGGGCGATTTAATGAAATTCTTCTCATGATTTTCTCGTTATCAGTAAATAAAAATCTTCACGAAACGAGCTAGAGCCAGAGTTGGGATTTGACTGACTGACTGACAGACATTGACTTGTCAGTCTGTCAGTCAAACGACTTGAGCGGAACATTTATATGAACGTTTCCCAACAAACGAATATTTTTGTTCGCGATTTTGACTGACTGACTGACTGACTGACAGACATTGACATGTCAGTCAGTCAGTCAATCCAGTTGAACGGAACATTTGCCCATCTCTGGCTAGAGCTGCTGTTTATACATTAAGCATCGTTTAACCAACGAGTCTTAGATTGTTGGAGTGAGATGTTTCAACCAAACTCCAACGTTTAAGATGAAAATTATCTTTATTACAATATTTATGATCATACGAAGCGATTCGCTGGTGAAATATGGCCGAAAATATATCAAAAGACTGGCTCGGTCAATGAAACCATCGATTTTCAATTAAATATACCGATTCGTATTTTAATTTAAATTCAAATTACGAAAGAAATGAGAATTTTATTTCATTGAATTTTACTTTCTATTCGACCAAGTTCTAAGTACATATTTTCTTCAAGTACACACTTTCATCGATTCAGAATCAGGAAAAAATCACATTACGCTCATCGAAACGGGAATCTTATTTGCATTTCAACTCTCAACTGCGGGAGCTTTTATTTCCGGATTTTCTTTTCATCCATTCAATTGATATCTTCCCGTATTAAAACTGGTATTATAAAACGAATAGAAATCTATCGAAAGATTCTTTTTTAAATTTCTCTTGCATTTGAAATGTGAATTCGAAATTTTATAAAAATAGCTTTATGGATAATTAATTCAAGTCTAATCCTACACACCATGAGCTTCAACCATGGAAAGATTTTCATTTCATTTTTTCTTATTATAACATGAGGAAAGTGAAATATTTCGTGCTCAAAGTAGAACGCAATGAATGCTTACAGTTGAAATCTTTCACTTTTAATCTCATCATCCCTTCAGCTGACAGAATGAAAGCTGTTTATTAACTGCTTGTTACATCGTTCCGACATGAGCCTGCCACTTTGTGTTAAGTTCAAGAATAAGAAAATTGCCAAAGTATTTACTTTTCGCTGCTTTTACTTTGATATGTGACAAGAAAAGCTCACATTTCGCTGCTAATTTTTATGTTGATTGCTGAATGAGTTTCTTTCTCGGTTTCTTTTGCTTTCCATTTTCTATAAAATGATTATAATCTCTAAATATAGAGGTAAAAAGAAAACTTGATGTAATTTAGATTGCTTATGTCAGATGCAGGCGATAACACATTAAAATTTTTATTTTTAATGTTCTGAGTAGCTGCAATTGTGTACGTACTTGAGAGATTTAAAAAAAAACATTAAATAGAAAATTTCTTCTACAATGAAACTAATCTGAGAAGAAAAAGAGCTTAAATCCAATTCATCACGAATCTAAGACGATAGTTGCTCGTTATGGCAGCATTTCATCGACTCAACATTGTATCTCGTACCCGAAAATAATGTTCTGGCATCTGATAACGTTCAATAAGCACATACCACACATAGTTGCCGAGCGTGGAGGTTAGAAATAGGAGCGCACGTTTGAACTAAATGAGAACATGAAGGAAAAAGGAACTCAACAAGACGGTATGAGAGGGTGGCAAAAGTCGACTACGATATCTTAAATTCTGCTTTCATTTTGAAGCGTTTGCTGCATCAGTGAATGGAAAAGAAAAACGAATAGAAAAAAAAAATAAAATAAAGCTAGAAGTTTCTCGGTTCACAAATCTTTTTATATTGTTTGATGCCAATGTTCCATTTCATGGAATCACAATTTCCTCGAGAATTTCAAATAACACAAGCTCACACACACACACAGCCTGATGGAAAAAGAATGTCATGTCCGCGTTTAAAAATCGTTTGGAAGCAAAGACAGAGATTACAAATGATGAAATTGGGAAAGTTGAATGAAGGAATATGGAAGAATTTTAAAATGAAATGACATCACACAGCTAAATTTAAAATGTTTTTAATAAATTATCTCTTGATAAATTCTAAATTTGGAATTGTATTACAATTTTTAAGAAGAATATTCGTTTCCACTTTGTAAGTTAAATGTCTTTACAAAAGGTATGCCACTTACATTCACTTACTTTTCATTGTAATCGTTGAAAGAAGGAATAATTTATGCGTACAGACAACAAAGAAACTCGACCGAAAATAAAAAGAATATTTATGTCAGATAATCTGAAAATTCGTGATGCTTCAAGTATTTGCCTAAAATAAAAGGAAAAAAAGAAGAGGAAAAATCTCCCACAAAAAAGACAATAAAAGGTAGGAAAATTTTATGGTCGGTACGTGCAACTGTTTTGATTGCATGGAACAGAAAGAAACTGCTGGAGGTTTTCAATCAAAAGGATTTGAACATGATTAAAAAGGAGGTTTTTTTTATCCAATTAAGGTTTTCATTCCTATCATGAATATCTTTCTCCATGACTTCATCCTCATGACAAAAGGTGATCGTTAAAATTCAACAACATAAAACGTCAGAATAATTTTACATAAATAAAATGTCGTTAATTTCATAGTAGTAAAATTTAATTTTCTATTAATGACGACGTAAATCTTTCCTTCAAAGAAGTGACTGTGAAAAGGTAATTATAGATAATTTATTTGGACATTAATGTACGAATCATTCTGCAATGCCAAATGAAGTAATTTTCTAGAAAATTCAGCTCAAACTTTCAAAATTCATGAATTTTTATAGATTTTTTATAATTATTTAGTAAATTTTGAAATAAATTGAAAAGGTTTAACTTGCATTTTCTAAAGACATTTAAAGCACATCTAAAGAATTTTGCAATTAATAATCAAACAGATCGTATAATTTTACTGCTACAAGTGCAATCAAGTTAAACATTCAGTTTGCTTTAATTTAGTTTGATTCACAAGGAAGCTCGATTAACCCATTAGTTCAATAAAATATCCAAGAAAATTCTGGGATCGAAAATACGTATGCATCCCAAAGTGGGAAAAAGAAAATTTAATATTTACTTATCAATCAAAGTTAACTCAATTTGTGTCTTTCCTCAGGCACGAGAAAAGCAAAATTGAAGCGTAATTTCAAGTACTTTGTGATGATTTATCCCAAGAAAATATTTCCATAAAAAGTTTTGAAAAGGTGAATTGCGAAATACGAACTAAATTAATTTAATTAATTCTTGGGATTAAATGAGATACAGTTGGGATACAATTTGAAAGAAAAAGCAGCCAACAAAGATGAGAAAAAATTGTTACTAAGAAGTTTACATTGAGTTTACACAAAGTTTTAAACTATTTGCTCGTAGCTATTTTTTTGCACATAATTTCTTGTTTACTTCTTCCATCGAGCATTGAATATTTATTGAAAATCATCAGAAGTGAAAAGAATTTTTTTCTCAACGTATGACAAAGTTTTTATATAAAGAGAAAGTTTTTTTTTTTCAACAAACCGACCTTCGGGGCTTCTATATCTGATTAAATGTAACATCCATCAGCTGCCTTCTTAGCATTCTTGAAGCATACACGTTGATGTTGTGAGAAGGAAAATAAAAGTTTCCTTTCAGCTCGCTAAGCATATATAAAGCAATACACAGTATCGACCTCACCCACCGACCCTAACAACATCATCAACAGCTATCGTGATGAAACATCACCAAAGGCAAAAGAAAAAAAAACCTAAGTCAATAAAAGTTTCGCTCAACTTAATTTGACCTCCAGCTTCTATCGATTCGTTGCAAAATCATTAAATAATTTTTAAATTTCATTTGCAGTTCTACACGAGTGACTTTGAAAACTATTTCAGTTTTTGTCGTCAATGTGATTTTATTTTTATCATGACATTTTACGGAGATATAAAAGTTTATTTCAAGAAGTTCTTCCTTTCGCCTTTTTTCCTCTCTACATGGTTAGTCAGCACCATTAACTGCCCATAAACTATTAAACTACATCATATCCTTCATCAGCCTTTTCACTATGGGTGATGGTTGGATTAAAGCAATGAAACGATGTTACATGCTTTTTTATGCCGTAGAAATCACGACGGTAAAGTATCAAATTTGGCAGTACTCAAGTGGAGGCTTGAAAGTCAAAAGTGCCATCGTAAAATAACAATGAGAAGGCCCTTTAGTTGTCAAACATCTTTTGGGGATTGATCTCATCCAAAGAGCTTTTGCTTCAACTTCATATCATCAAACATTAATGCTTTGATGCCCTCTCACTGTTACGAAAAACGATTTGGGCGAGGCTCATCTCTTGAGAAATGATAAAAAAAAAAGAAAAACTATTATCATCAATCGGAAAGAACTACAAAAAAATGTTTCAAATGATGTTAGATGGAGGAAAACAATTTCTATCAATTTTTCTATCGCAAATTGTCATAATGGCGTGCCATCTGATAAACATCTTCTTCTCCCTTGACGATGTTGCAAATACCCAAATTTTCGTTTTCCCTCGTTTCATTCTTTTTCTTCCTTCATCAAAAGGCTTGCAATTTCAAGAAAGTAATTTGCGTGGAAAATCTTGAACAAATCTCAGGCTCTCTAAATGATTTTTCCCCTCCACCACCCGTATCATCAAACTTTTCCTCTTTTGTAGAATTTTTGAAAGCAGGAAACAAGGAAAGAAGCATCAGATGGAAATCATTAAAGCAACAAGAAGCAGGAGAAAGCAACAATGGTTAAATGACGGTAAATTTGAGTTGATTAATAGTAAAAGGCGCTGAAGAATTGTTCTGTGAAATGACAACAAAATATAAAAAAAAGAAAGGTGAAAGAGAAAGTGAAAATATTGGCTCATTTAAAAATCCATTGGGATACATTTGTCGTATGCTATGTCAATCTGAGTCTCTCTTCTGGTGTGTGACAAACAAAAAGGATTGACTTATATGTAAGTAGGTATTGTTTGAGTGATTCAAGATGAAATGTCATCAGGTAAGTAAAGAAAATGGGGAGAAGAATGTTTACAAACGAATAGTAACAAAAGAACATCAGACAAATGATGGAAAAGTTAAATAAAATGTTAGAACTTTTCAAATGATATTCACAAACTTTCTTTATGGTTGAAATTTAGGTAGTTAATTTATTGAGCAACTTTTTAAAGAATAAACTTTTTCAGTAACCCGTCTTTGTAACGGGTAATATTTTACTCAAACTATTATACAAAGTTAATAGCTTTCCATATCTTAAAATAGAAGAAGTGTGAGACTGTTTGTCTCGTGAAAAATGACATCAATAAAGATATTTTCCTTCCCCACACATCTCATCATGCTTCCCCTTCTCATTTTCACCCATCAAGAATCCCAAGTCTCTACTAAATCATTCAAAAGAAAGCTAGTGGAAAAGAAATTGCTGTCAGAAAAACTTTGAAGTCTAGAAGACGAGAAATTGCAATTTGAAATTCATATGGCAAACTCTACTGTGGTAGGTTTTAGCCGTGCAAATTGTGGAAAAATCTCATTTGCTTTTTTCGCTTCTCATTCCTAAGACACAGTAGCTTAAGTAGGGAAAAGGAAAAAATAAACTTTATAACCATCTTTAACATTTTTTTATTCATCTTGAAATGTGCTTCAAATGTTGCACATTTTTTCTCATTTTGACTTTTATCGATACGCCAGATGGGAACCGTAACAAGCTTTTTGTTTGACTTACGAATTCTTGCGTATGAAAATGAGATAGGAAAGGAAAACCAGGAATTTGAAAATTTTTCAAATTTATGTGCGAGCATGCACGGTAAGCAAAGCAGAAGAACTTTGCCAAAAAGAAAAGTAAAAATTGGAATTTTGGAAAACAAAGGAAAGCGAAAGAAAATTTTCATAAGCTTCCTGCTTTCTTCTCGAAGGAACGTTACGAAAGATTTTCGATTTCGTTCAAGACCGAGAAATGATTTTTTTCTCTTTATGAAATGAAATGTGAAGGAAATTTATGAGACAAACAATATAAAGTTTTCATATATTTCTGAAAGAAATTTTTGTTGTACTCGTTGCTTGTTTCAGTTGTTGACAGTTGAGACTTTGCCCCACTTATTCTCGAAATTCGATTTTCATCAAAAAATCAATGATAAAACAGATTACAAAAGGTTAACAGATTGAAGCGGAATTCCAACAGCACTTGAATCCATTCAACAAGCTTCAACAATGTCAGTTTTAGTGACAATACAACAAAGTTGTTTGTGGCAATTTTTCAAAAGAATGTCCGCTCATCCATAATTGTGTCAAACATGTTTGCAACATAAACAACATGGTAAAAAATTTTAAACCTTTACAGCAACGGAAACATTAAAAATTGATTTTCATCATCATGAAGTATAATAAATTCGGCACGTCTCACCCGCTCCGGCTTGGCACCAGATGACAACTGAATTATAGACTGCACACCCGCAAGAAACGAACATTTTATGACTAAACGTCAATTTTTACGACATTTCATCGTTTTTAAGACGTCATTGACGCCGCTTTAAAACAATTAAAATTTAAAGAACGTCGATTTAACAACGACAATCGATTTTACCATCAAACTTAACACGCGAGATGATCGAGTGCTATAAGAGATGAATTCATTAAAATATCGTCGTAAGGCGAGCATGTAGTAGATGATATGAGTTTAGGATAAGCATAAACATAAGCATCAAGAATGAAACACGAAAAGTTTTGGTATCATTTAAGCAAGTCACGTTTGAGAAATAAATTCGAATAAAATATCGTCGTGAATGGATCTTTATGTGAACTTTATTCAACCTTGGCATCATCCCTCGATGATTTACTTAACTCAGTATTCACAAATAACTTAAGGCAATTTATTGAAAATATACGACATTTGTTCGCTTGCATGTATGGCTTTAAAGCTTCGTTAGAGATTAATGATGATTGAAATTTATTCAAACATTGTTTTCAATTTCAAACAAAGTCAGAGGTTTTGAAAGAACCTAGAATATTAATAAATTTTGAGCTTGAAATTGTATAGTTTCTCGTTAACATTGATTTTCATTTAGTTATTGAAACAACTTTGTGGAAACCCAATTGCAAACTTCATTCCCAATTCAAAGTTCTCGTTACAAATTCAACAAGCAAGTTCAATTACTAAATCCGATTTAAAAATATAAAATGTAGCACTTGCAGTATTTTTTTTAATTTTATACTTTCCTCAATTCAATGAAAAACATAAAATCACTTTAATAATTAAACCAGCTTTAGTTGCTTTAAATTTAAAGGAAATATTTTTAAAAAAAGAAGGAATCATGAATTTATAATTAGAAAAATAAAGCGATTTTCCAAAGCATTTTTCATGCTTTAGCATTTTCAATTAACATCAAAACAATAAACAAAAATTATCGATCGTAAATATATAAACATGCAGATTATTATGCAAATTTTTTGTAAATTTTCTCGTTTTTCAAACAAGCGAATTTTTCAAGAGAGATTAAATATTAATGTTCGTTCATAGATTATTCCACCCATCTAACCCACTCTTGTGCTTTTAATATGCATGCATCATGAAAAGAAGGAAAGAAAAAACAACATAATTTTGTTTTTAATTTTTGATACTTCCTCCCATCTTCAATACTTTACGAAATATTTATGTGCTTGCTTTTTACGGTGAAGCGAGCAAAGAAAAAGCTTACAATTTTAGAAAACGTAGGGAAATTTTAATGGGATGTTTTGTGGGTGCCATGGAAATTTATGGTGCTCAACGAAACGAAAATAGAAGTAAATATCGTGAATTTATCGATGAAATTGATCAACAGGTCGACCTCATGCAATAATTTTCAAAGGTATCCATTTTTCTTACAGCACAACGTAGTAATCGCAGCGATAAAAATCTTAATAATCAGCATTTCGTATTGCTGTCAAGATTGTGCTGTTAATAGAAAAACTTATTCTTTTTATACATTATTAGCTTCCTTTCAATCACTGTCAGAGATTAATAGTTTGATTTAATTATATATCTTGATGGTTAACGAATCATCTCAGAGTAAAGTTTTCCACAACTTCGTCTGATGAACAATTTATCAGATGCGCTTGGTTTCATGATAAATTTATTTGTTCGAGTACGTGTGAGCGTTAATTCGAGTGTGAATGAAAGTTGATTGAGGCCTTAAACTTCAGCCAATGAAAATTTATGGTGGCAATCACACGAAACGACGTTACAACTATGTGACTCACAAACTACCAGCGTAAGCTTGCAATTTCAAATAAATTTCCGAGTATACTTTTAATGAGAGTATAAAATTAAATGCTTGCTGTGCTATTAAAAGCTTTAGAGAACCTGACCCTAAAATAAGTAATGAAAAAAAATCAGAGACGATAAGCGCGAACTCTAGAATGACAAAAGTGGATTTGCACACATAAATATAGCACCATGAAAATATTTTCATTCAAAATTTATAGATCCCACTTCAGCAATGAAATTATTAACGTTTTACGGAAAATAGGATGAAACGTAAACAATTCCTCAACAACATTTTCAATGCATTTTCATGTTAATTTAACTCTCCTTGCATCCTTAAATCATTTAATAAATTTACAAAATCTGAACTTTACTCTTACGACGACAATGTAACTGGGGCAAATAAATTTCATTCCATCAACAAAGAGGCTATGTAAATATAAACAGCAGATTACAACCATTTTAATTTTATCGTCACACATTGTTTATCTTTTCTTACTTTCCTTTTACGCTTTAATATCAGTGTTTTCATGCGAGTTAAGGCGGCATGCGAAATTAATTGTATCGTTTACGCTCGAGCGCAGCCATTACAGTGAAAGCATTTATATAGGTTGGTGATGAGAAACTTGCTTATCCATTAATTAGCCAAATAAATATTCGCGCTAACGCCAATACATTTTCAAACACTCCTCTCTGTTAATGGAAAATTCTTCTCCCTTGGAAAAGCTACATATTTAATTTTTTTTTGCTTCTATTGTTTGTGTTGAAAATTTTTCGCCATTTAACATCGAAAATTTACACAAAAGCACGGTTTCAATATCACATTTTGTGTTGTTTATTCGAAAAACATTTTGAAACGACAATAAATCATAAGAGTATAAAATCTGCGGAGCGAACACCTACACCGACAAACAAAAATCTTTATCATGTGTTCAACAAATAAACCACCCATTAAGAACAATTAATTTATGCGTTATTCATCTTTTTTCTTCTTTTCTTCCATCAACAAATTTAGGTCAATGAAAGCAACCTTAAACTAGGTAGTTCTGGTAATTGCTGAAGCGAAAAGAACTTTTAATTAAGAAGCAGCCATACACTTAAGCACGTATTAATTTTTCAAAAAGGATAAAAAGAAGTATTTGCTCGTAAATATTATTTAATTGAATTTTAATTTTTGTTTCAATCAACCATTGCAGCGCTTTGGAAAAATGGAAAGCAAACATCAAATTTGAAATCACAGAAAAAAAATTCAATTAAATTCAACGCAATCAACATTGATATGAAAGGCTTTCAGTGAATCAACAATGGCTCGAAAATTTCGACGTCGTCCCAAACATTCTCATTTTCAGAAATGAAATTGTCGTAACAATATTATACGGGTTTGAGGTGCCATAATATTCTCACCAAAAAGAAAACATTGTCAGATCACACTGAGAACGACTCACCTCATTATCTTTATCGGAATCCTTAATATGTTGTGCGATGAAGCGAACGGATTGAATGGCTGCAAGAACTTCAGATGTGAGTGTTCGTGGAATGACGATATGCTCTCCCTCTGATAATTCACAAAAAGAAAAGAATGGAAAAGTTAAAGGATGAAGGTTTTTCAATGTAATTATAGAAACGAAAATTGCACATCAATTTTCATGTGTTTTCACTTGCCTTGTTGATGGTGTTGATTGGAATGTGCCAAATTTTCGTAGCCTTCATGATTATCCTTGTACTCGTTTGGATATTCAGTGATGCTATCTCTGTAATGATCTCTGAATGTTTGAAATATTAAATACATTGGCAATGGATTGTCTAAAATATTTTCTACTCCCACCTCATATCAATTTCATTTGTATGAATGACATCGTCATAATCTGGAAGCGTGTATTTGGTGCGACGCATCATCAACACTCGTGGCATAAATTGAAGAAAAATCTTCTTGACCAACGGTGACATAACATGAGTCGATGATGATCTATAGGATGTGAAATTGGTTGAATAAATTATCGAGATTGATTAATGTTCTTCTCACCTGAAGTGGACATTCAATACACAAACTGTCGTCCACACAGAGAGTGACACAAGTATCATCGTGAAGAGCAAATATTTTCCAAGCAATGGAACAGCGAGTGACGTAGGTGGAATAATTTCGGCGAGAAGAAGGAAGAACACCGTCAACGATACAAGAATAGAGATGCAAAGCGTAACCTAAGATAGTTGAAAGTTGCAATCAAGATTAATGATTCATTAATTTGACATGATTTGTGTTTTGTGATAGATAGTGATGCAGCGATATTTAATGACACGATTAAGTGGGAGTAGATGGGATGATTAAAATCTAATTACCTTTTCACCGGAGTCAGATGGTAAATAAAACACAAGAACTGTTAAGAACGTAATACCCACACAAGGTATTATAAGATTTACAGTGTAACTGCAATTAAATGGCAAGAAATTAGAAACGATTCATTAAGAAAAGCACAAATATAATACAAAAGCGTCTTTCGTCTCATTGTTAACTTGAAGGTGATGTCAGAAAAAGGTTCAGGACAACACGGATAATATTCTTCATTTCGACTTGCAGGAACTTCCAGAACATCCCATTCAACGGATAAGTAGAATTCGGATAAATCGATGCCAATCATAACAAGATTTGATCCAGGAACCTTTGATGGATAATTATTTAAAATAATTACTTAGTGATCATTGCAACATCACTGAAACTTACTTGATCCAAATGTTTTAAATCAACTTGAGCGCCATTGTAAGTCCAACTTCCAAATTTCATGAAGCAACTTTGTTCGTCGTACGGAAAATATTCGACATTCATTTCACAAGAACTTTTATAAATAGCTGGTGGCTCCCAAAACACTTCGCCAGTATATNCACGACGCTCTTCCGATCTGTGAAGAGCAAATATTTTCCAAGCAATGGAACAGCGAGTGACGTAGGTGGAATAATTTCGGCGAGAAGAAGGAAGAACACCGTCAACGATACAAGAATAGAGATGCAAAGCGTAATCTACAAGAGATTAAAAATTCAAATTAAATGTTCAAATTAAAAACTATCACTTGCATGATGCTTTTTCTCACCTTTTCACCGGAATCAGATGGTAAATAAAACACAAGAACTGTCAGGAATGTAATACCAACACAAGGTATTATAAGATTTACAGTGTAACTGCAATTAAATAGCAGGTTTAATTAATTTTAGTTTCAAACTAGAGAAATCGTAAGTACTTACGATAATGTCTTTCGTCTCATTGTTAGCTTGAAAGTGATGTCAGAAAAAGGTTCAGGACAACACGGATAATATTCTTCATTTCGACTTGCAGGAACTTCCAGAACATCCCATTCAACGGATAAGTAGAATTCGGATAAATCGATGCCCATCATGACAATATTCGATCCAGGAACCTTTGATGGATAATATTTAAAATAATTACTTAGTGATCATTGAAACATCACTGAAACTTACTTGATCCAAATGTTTCAAATCAACTTGAGCGCCGTTGTAAGTCCAACTTCCAAATTTCATGAAGCAACTTTGTTCGTCGTACGGAAAATATTCGACATTCATTTCACAAGAACTTTTATAAATTGCTGGTGGCTCCCAAAACACTTCGCCAGTATATTTCAATGTGGCTTTTGTCATCAATGTTACCTCATAATTTCCATCCCAATTATTAAACAAAACAACGTCTGGAAGCCAAATTTGTTCAGAAGGAACATAAAGCATTTCAACACCTCCATATTCTTCTGGATCCCATTTGAGTTTATAATCATACCACTTCTGCTTAACCCATAAATTCGTTGTCATGACCTAAAAGAAAATTAATGATAGAAAATTTGAAATGAAGGAAATGAAATAATCAAACCTGATTTCTTAAAGAAACTTCAATGATTTGTGTAATTTTTAAGCCTAACCAAACGGTTAAGGTTTCCGTATTATTAACAACCGGACGAATCAGACGATTATAGTTACTCAACAAATCATCATAAAGACGCTTTGCATCTGGATTGGCTTCGATATGTTGAACAGCTGAAAAGAGAGTAAATAATTTGTGGGTGGGGAAATTTATATTAAAAGCTTCACAAATTTAGTTCTCCGATTATACTTACAGCAATCATTCTTATGAAACAGCAAAAACATTAAAATCCATTTTATTACCCACATTATGACTAATTTATAAATAACAATTTAACTTTTTCCAATTTTTTTATTAACTATTCCTGTAAACAATCTACAAAATGTCTTTACACAACAACATATCTACGTAGAATGAAAATTTTTGCAATGAAAATCGATAAATTTTCTCTCTTTCAAAAATGAAAAAAAGCTTTGTGAGAGTAAAAGCTTCGAAACAAGAGAGAGCCGGCACTTTTGTTTTTTATTGAATATTAGTGATAGTTCGAAAAGTTTATAGGAACAAGCAATTTGGGACGAAAAGTTAAGCTCAAAGCGAAAAATTTCAATTCATAATTTGAATTGTCATTTTACAAAAATCTATAAAAATTAGAAAAATCGTTTTTCCCGAATAATCGATATTTGAGCTTTTCAAGGGGTAGGAAAATAAAAAAAAGCTCAAAATTTCTCTTCCTTATGAAAGTTTGATGCAAGGGGTAAACCATCAGCTTTGTTTTTTTCAAACTTGTTTCAAATGGTGCTTAGAAAAACGAGAAGAATAAATTTTTCCAACTGAAAGCATTGCGAAAAAAAAATTCCACATCTATGATATTGCGACCAGAAAATTGCGAATCGATTTTTAAAATTTTAACCGTTGAAAATATGAATGCGTAATAAAATATTTTCTAAGTTGAAATTTTAAAAATCGATTAATAAAGAAATAAAAATATAAGGTTTAGTGCCATAATAAGTAAACTTTATTAAATTTAATGAGTGAAAATTATATTTAATCTTAGAATTAAATTCTTACATTCATATTTTTAACGGAAATAAATTCAAAAAAAATCTGCAATCTTATGTTGGGAATAATTTTTTCGCAATTTTCTGGATTTGGAATAGTCTAGTCGAGGAAAAATTTATTCTTCTCTA